GTGCCGAACTGTCAATAAATACTCTATAGATTTATTTTTTTCTACCCTGAATCAATTTAGAAATAGTTTGTATAGATTAGTTCCTAGCTGAATATCAAAATGTTCACTTATACTTACATTTATCTAGAACTAGTTATCTGCCCTATTATTGTATACCCTTTTATTGGGTCTTGGCCTGTTGGATGTAAATGAATAAATAAATAAATAAAGTCGATGATTTCCGATAATTGAAAATCTAATTAAAAATGAAAAGAGAAATGAATATTTCTATGTTTTTACGATATTTACTGGATACTACAAACTACATTAATTTATTGAAAATCTAATTCCTTTGGAGTATCATTCTTTGAACTAGACTGAAACGGACAGCAAACAACAGGTTTGTCATCGCCCCATCTGCCTGTGAACGAGGTAACCAACCGCATATCCAAAATAAGGAAAGAAAAGCATTAACCTACAGTGTAGGAAGTTGAGACTGGCCTGAAAGAATTGTTCCTTTAGATGATTTGATTTATAGCCAGTCGTCAAGTATGCCCACTGACGATATATGAAAAGCAAGAACTAATTGTTCATGATGTTTGTTATTTGTTAAATCATATTCACTGGAAAAGTGCTAACGTATATTCACAAAAAAAATTTTTTTCAGAAAAGTTCAACATCCAGTATTTGAAAAACAATGAACTACCGAATTTTATAGCAACTAATTTTTATATAATTAGCTCATGAACACCTCCTTATATTTTTTCACCCCAACTAGAAAAAGCCACTCATAAAATGCTGTTCTCCAAATGAAATAATTTTCAAGAAGTGTAGTGAGAGATGAATTCAGTTGAATCTCCGAGTGATGGATAGCTATAGTTTGCGAATCACCACCCGTGAAATAGAGAAAAATTGTGAACCTCATTCTGTTAATTGAGTCAATAAAGGTAACAGGTATCTGTTATTTTACTCACTGTTGATCCATTGATAGGTACTTATTGGAATATCTATCAGCATACTCATCATACAAAATTTAACATATTTCTCATTCTGGTCGTCACCGATTGTAGTATTCTTATAAAATTTCTACTAATATCTGTCATAATTATAAATACACTATTTACTCAATTTAGAATTCAACTCGGAGTTTCTCAAATCTAAAGAAATGAATTTAAAACTTTCAGGCTAGTCTCGAATATACCTATACAGTAGATTGAATGGACTGACGCCTATCAGAAAACAACTACTCCCCTGGCTAATACCACGAAGGGAGTTGTAGTGCAGGAATCCCCAAAATTTCCTGCATTTGCAATTGGCAATACAACTGAAAGATTCGACCTTCAATTTTGAAACGTATATAATTCAACGCCCTTCGTGGTATCAGCCAGGGGAGTAGTTGTTTTCAATTTTAAAGCTCATTTCTATAGATTTGTTTACTGCCAGTCTTCAAGCATAGCCCACTGACTAATAAGAAAATTTTTCTTCCTTATTCAGAAGTATCGGGCACATTTAGGATATGCAGTTGGTTAGTACCTCGTCCACTAGATGGAGTGACATTTTGTTGTTCGCTCCAACTTAGGAAGAAGAATGAAATACTTTGAAAGAATTCCGATTTTCAATTCTTGAATATCATTGACTTTAGGTCGATGATGGCCACTATCTTGCACTGATGAGTGGCTAATGAGCCTGAAACCGGTCTGAAAGTGTGCCCGTTCCAAAATTGAAGGTCGACTCTTTCAGTTTTATTGCCAATTGCATATGCAAGAAATTCAATGTGAAGATTCCTGCACTGACGCCTGGTCGGATATAATCCAACTCCCTCCGTGGTATTAGCCAGGGGAGTAGTTGTTTTCTGATAGGCGTCAGTCCATTCAACCTACTGTGTAGGTATATTCGAGACTGGCTTGAACGTTTAAAGTTCATTTCTTTAGATTTG